AAAAAAAAAAAAAAAAACAGATTTTAGATTTTTGGCTGGGTATGATGGCTCATGCCTGTAGTCCAGCCACTTGGGTGGCTGATGTGGTAGGATTGTTTGAGCCCAGGAGGTCAAGTCTGCAGTGAGCCATGATTGCACTACTGCACTCCACCTTGGGCAACAGAATGAGACTCTGTGTCAGACAAAGAATAAAAAGATTTTGGATTGTTAACAGATGCTGACTGGTGATGCGGGGGTTGGAAGTGGGGAGGGGGTGGAAAGAAAAAGAAAAGGATTTCGGATTGGCTGAATATTTTTGTTACTAATTTTCACTAGCTTTTTGAAAAGTACTATAATTCACATACCATATAATTTATCCACTTAAAGAGTACAAGTCACTGTTGTTTGGTATATTCATGGAGTTTCACCAGCTTTTCATATGTGATGCTACATGATTCAGATCATGTAGTGACTGCTAATTAAGTAAATGGATTTATTTCCTTCTTCAGGATCCCTCCACTTAATGCAGTAGCTACATTCTTGAAAGTTAGCTTGAGCCTGGTGCCATGGCTCACACCTGTAATCCCAGTACTCTGGGAGGCCGAGGCAGGCAGATAGCTTGAGCCCTAGAGTTTGAGATCAGCCTAAGCAACATGGCAAAACCCCATCTCTACAAAAAATACAAAAATTAGCCATGTGTGACGGTGCATGCCTGTAGTCTCAACTACTTGGATAGCTGAAGTGGGAGGGTTGCTTGAGCCTGAAAGGTTGAGGCTTTAATGAATCGAGATTGTGCCACTGCACAAGTGAAGACAGTTTATTTTTTTTTATTTTTTATTTTATTTACTTAAAATTTACCTCGGGCCACATATAGTCAGTGGCTCTTGCCTGTAATCCCAGCACTTAAACAGGCAGAGGTGGATCGCTTGAGCCCAGGGTCACTGATTCAAAAAAAAAAAAAAGTGGCTAAAAATGGCCTTCCGTAAACTACATCATATTGTCCTGGTGATTTGCAGTTCCTTTAACCTGTGGTCACTTTATGCTCAGTCTCTTCTTTCTTATGTTAATAGTGCCCACAGAAATGTCCTTTCTGCCTTTGAAGCTAGCACCCCTTCTTAGGCTTCCCTCTCCTTCGGGAGCTCTGTGATGGCTTTCTTTGATAGCTTCTGCAGTGTCCAGTGTGGTTGTTGGCATACATGTAGGTCCCAGGAAGTGCTATGGAATGCATCCATGTTGGTAATTTTATAGCTGAGACCACAGGAAAGTAATTGCATCTCCCTATTCCCTTTGTCCTATGGTCTGTGTTCCTTTCTTGCAGAGAGGCCAGTGGTACAAAGCACAGACTCTCAGGGAAGGAAGGGATATTTGAATGATTTGCTTTATTTCTTCACTTTACAAATGAGATCACTTAGTCTGCCTGCCATGAAACACAGTAGTCACTAGCCACATGTGACTAATTCAAATTAAATACAATTCAAAATTCCTTTTCTCAGTTGCACCAGCCACCTTTCAAACACTGACCAGCCACGTGTGGCCACTGACTACTGTATTGAACTGCACACACGTAGGCATTCCCAGCATCATGGAGACCTTTATCAGACAGCCCATGGGTACCTATTCTGTAGGTGTTTGGCCTCTGAGAGCCTCAGATTTCTTCTCTGTAAAGTGGGGGCTGTGTAACATCTTGTTCATAGGATGTTCTGGATATTAAATAATACATGTAATTGGGTCAGGACAGTACCTGATATATAGTAAACACTCAATAAATGTTAATGCCTGCTACTTTTGTCATTATTCAGTTACTTGTAAAAGCTAATTAGTGCTAGTTGGAACTTTCTTTTTTACAATCACAAAAATGTCCAGTGGGTACATACTGTGTGCCAAGTGTTGGGCTAAGTGCTACTAATACTGAAATAAATAGAACATGACTTTGGTTTTAAAGATAGCCCAGAAATCATTACAATTCAGGGTGATAAGCACAGTGTGGCATATGGATCTTGTCAGTGTCACTCTTCCTGTTTCCTTGGACCCAATGCCTGACATCTATTAGTTGAGTAATAATTATTTGTTAAATGAATGAATGTACAAGGTAGGGAATTTGCACAGAAGCTGGTGGAGACCATCGGGCAGGGCTGAGGTGGAAAGCCTTTATAGTCGTGATAGCTGAGTATGGTAAAGGATAAGTGGGGCTTGCCACATGAACACGGGGTAGCATAGGCTCTTCCAGACAGCTCAGCCAAAAGGAACAGATGGGGGAGGGTGTGTCCATGAGTCAGGGTCTGGCCTGGTCCTGGGGCAGCAGGGCACTGCAGGGGTTTCCGTAGGGGAGTGGTAGCGACCAGAGGTAGCATTAGTATGGAGGGTGGGCTGGAGGTGTGGCCTGGGAAGTGGCAGCCAAAGGTGAAAGGTATTAGGTGTCACATGCTGGGAGTTCAGCCTCACTGTTCCAGTTGACCAGCTTCTGCCTTTTATTGACGAATTGTTTAAAGGCTGCTGCTGCCTGCTGCCTGCTACCTCCTCTCAAACACTCCCTGATGAAAGACAAGAGTAATAGGAGACAGGAGATGAGGTTACTCTGCCTTTTTAGAAGCTGCCTGGCACCTGAGAACATTTCAGAGATGTGTTGCAGAAGTTTTCAGGGAGCATACCATTAAACCTAGCTCTACTTGTTCTGTTTTGGCAGATTTCTTTTGAATGAATCACCCATGTTTGGCGCACTGCATGTACCTGCTGAGTGTTTCTGTCAATTTCAGTCTGGAACATAGGCAAATGTTGGAGGTACAATGGGGTCTCACCCCTGCTGTGGCAATTCACGGCAGCTCTTTTGAGGGACTCAGAGTGGTAATACACAGCTGACTTAGAAGTCTGCTCAGCGCTGACATGGGAAGCTTTTGGTCTGTAACCTACCACAGATGTGGACATGCAGCCTTGTAGGGGTGTTTTCATGCCTTTGCCTTGACTCATTCAAAACAGAGATTTGGACATTTTGATAGAGTAATCGAAGAGCTATAAACTACATTTACCTCAGTTATTTCTGAAGACTTCTGTCTCCATCCAGTATCTGCATCCTTCAGTGGACACGCACACATGCAAACGCTCAAATGCTTTGCTTTTTTTTTTTTTTAATTTTTAATTTTAATTTTTTTTTAGCGA